GCCTGCGCCTTTTGATGACGTCACAATACATAATTGTTTTAACGTTTGCACAATTGCGCAAAACATATTGATTGGTCTGGACAGCTTACTAAAGTAATTATAGCGGGGTGTAGGTTTTATTCGAAAGCGGGATTGCGGATTTTACGAAGAAATTCTCCATGGTCCCTGCGCCTTCCAATGACGTCACCGAATTCACCATGGGCCTTGCGCCTCCCGATGACGTCACATTATGGCAACGCCACTCAAACAAACTACATTGAGCCCGCGGTCTGCATTTGTAACGAGAATAAATTCAGGAGAATGAAGCTAAAGGGATACAAAAATAAATTTGTAATATTACAATTTATTGGCTAAATAAAATAGATTTGTGACAAATAGAGACCGCGGGCGCAATGTAGTTTGTTTGAGTGGAGTTGCCATATTTAAATCATGCGTCTGCAAGAGACGGATCCTGTTGTAAAAAGTAAAAGAAAATCACCCAGAAACTGTGGTAAAAAATGGTTTTCTTGGTCTTAAGCCTTGTTCTCTTCTTCTTCTGATAAAATCCTGCAGCTCATACCTGCTAGGTGCCGTTCCTGCGTAATAAACTCCTGATCCTGACAGCGTGAGACCGCAGTGAGCGCGTCTCCAACATGAACGCAAATTCATCAAACTGAAAGAGAAATTTAAAAACATGAAAGTTTTAAATAGGAAGAAATAAAAACAGCAAAGTTTCTCTGAAAACCATTCCGTTGTAATAATATTGGACCAAAGTTGCCTCCGTACCTGTGGATGACATCACTGATTGTGTTCAGCCCGCCGCAGACCTTCGCCAGTTCAACAGGGCCGAGGTTCTGTACCAGGCTCTGTTCAAACACCTGTACACCAGCGAGGCCGCCGTCGTCCAGGTAACCCCCCCCCACACACACACACACACCCCCACAGGATGAGCAGGCCTTGACCTCTGACCTCTGACCTGCAGCTCGCCCTCTCCTGCCTCCTCGACCTGCTGCCCGTGTTAGAGAAGCCCCCCTCCTCTTCCTGCCGCACCAAGCCCTGTCGCCATGACGACGTGCTGCGTCTGGTGCTGACTCACATGGAGGCCGAACACAAGGTGGCGCTGCGGCGCGTCTACGCGTCAGCATTGCCGCTCTTCGTGGAGAGGTGCGTTTGATTCTCACACCTTCGCTCTGATCCCAGGACCAGTCGGAACGTTTCGGAACGTTTCCGGGTGTTTTGAGTGAACCGTGCAGCGGGGTGGGCGGAGCCTCATGCTGTGCTGTGTGCAGGATGGGCGTGGCCTCCTGCAGACACCTGCGACGGTTGGAGCGGGTGCTTCTGGGATACCTGGAGGTCAGAGATCCACCTGAGGAGACCAGCAGGCTGAAGATGCTGGAGGTTCTGCAGAAGACGACTGCAGTGGCGTGGCCACGGTAACCCCCCCCCAAGCAGGAAGTTCTGGTATCCTAGACAGGATGGAGCCTGACCTCTGACCCCAACCCCCTGTTAGGATGGCGTGCCGCGTCGACAGGTTCCTCCGATGTCTGCTGCGTCTGCTGGTGGACGTGTCGTCGGACGCCAGCCTTGGCGAACCGGTGCGGCAGCAGCTGATGGATCAGACCGCCGCCGCCCTCCGCCTGCTGGATGGCTGCTCTCAGGGACGCGTTCAGGTGAGTCGCGTTCAGCCCGACCCGCCGAGTAGAACAGAACCAACCAGCAGGGATCGACCCACAGCACGAAAACAACAAACCCGACAGACGAGTTTTACTGATCAACCAACAGAAGAAAGTGGAGAAAATAAATCTTATTGTTTTATTAAACATGTAAATAAAATAAAATGTAATAAAAATGGCAGGAAGGTTATAAAATAAGCAGAAACATCAACTTAAAACTGGAGTAAAATAAAAATAAAGTTGTTCATAGATTAACAGTCAGGAGCTTTTTAAAAAAAATTGTATTTTTCTCCATATTTTTTATTCTCCTCCTTTTCCTTTCTGCAACATTTAAATCAATATTTCTACTCATTAAAGGAAGGAGATCTGATGTTTAAGCTGCTTTAAGATGAAGTATAGCCTAGTAAATTAGCCCCGCCCACCAGCGGCCAAAATCAAAACGCCTCCATCAATGCCTCAGGCCCTAGAACTGGCGGGCCAATCACAGCGCAGAGATGTGTTTTGAATGTCTGGATGCAAAGCGGGCGGGGCGGCAGAGCTGCGCGACGCTGGAGAAGCGCAACAAGGAAAATGGCAGCAACTATTAAACAGTTCTGGTTTGACTCCGCTTTGGAATCAGTTCTGGAAGGATCAGACTTTGGGTTTTCGTTTAAACGTGAGCAGGAAGAGGCTCTACGCTCGTTCAGTTTAAGAAGGACGTATTCGCCGCTGTTAGTTTCCGCTCCCCCCCCAGCTTCCTGTGGCGCTTCCTATGTCACAGGCAGTGGCTCTCATTGGTCAGAGCGTTGGCCAATAGGCACAGACATGGTTTGAAAAACATCGGGTTGTTCTCATCAACAATCTTCTGATGTCTCGTTCATCGGGGCCAGACTAGATTAGACCTTTAATCTCACATTTAGTCTGGATTACCAGGCTAGGCCAGCGGTCGGCAACCCAAACCCAAAGAGCCATATTGGACCAAAACATTTAAAAGTTTTCTTTCAGCCTCGTAAGGCAGTGCGTTTTATCCCACTGTAGAAAAGGACCATGTGGATTTAAATATCTGATAAACATTCCTGATTAAATGTTAATCCTGGATCAAATGTCACATCATGAGGTGATGGAGGAGCAGTGAACGCTCTCACCGCTTCACCGCCCTCCAGGTTTAGGTTTAGTTGCATCGATGAAATGATAGAAACAGGATAAAGGAATGTTTCTATGGTGGACGTGTTTCTGTTGGGAGGAGCTGATGGACGAACCAAGCAGGAAGTGACATCATCAGAGCAGAGCTCTCTAACCCTGAACTCCCACATCCTCCGTCATCCAGCGCTCCTCGGTGGGATTTAGATTTTTAGGATTTAGGGAAAAAATGTTAGAAAGTTTCCATCCCTGCATCAGAGCGCCACCTGTTAGATCTATGAACGGTTTTCTATGCTTCAACCAAACTAGCAGCAGTAGTGGAGCTTAGAGATGCAATCTACTTCTTAAATCTATCTTTGATCTCCTCTAATTTATCCAGAAGTTCTGCAGTCACACCTTTTCTCTCCCTGCCAGCTGGTGGTCGCTGCAGATTTAGCCTTCCCTGGAAATGACTTTCCAGATTTTTATGTTTTTAAAACCTCTCATTCCAAAACAGAAATGCAGGCAATCCTTCCTCATTGATAATGAAATAAATGATTCGCTCCATTCTTCTTTAAATCCTCTGTTCTCATCAGCTATCTTCCTTTTTTCCCTTTGGAATCCGCGGTCCGAGACGCATCCGCAGCTTTGCTAGCCTGGCGCCGCTAACGCTGGCTGCAGGTTATGACCACTGATCTCTATGGCTATGACGCTAATTATTGTTTAAATTTATTTATTATATGTTTACAGCATTGGAAAAAAATTATAAATTTTTCTTTGACCAGTTGGCCGACCCCCAGGCAAGGTGAAGGAGTCTGAATGTTTCCCTGCAGTGGCTGAACGTGCCTGTAGGAGGCGGCGTTCAGGCGTTTAACTTATTTACTCTGTTCTGTGGTGGATTGGTGAATCCAGATCGTCCAATCGGACGAATCTCTGGTTCTAATATGGATGTTTCTGTTTGACAGCGGCTCCTCCTGCAGGTCGATGGCCTCTGCTGCAGCTCCCAGGTGCTCAGTTGCCTGGCAACGGTGACAGCAGAGGCCACCGGCACACCTGGAACATCTGGAGGTGGAGACGGACTCGGCTGAACCAAGTCAGAGGCTTCAGAGGAGGACCTAAACAGGAGGCCCGCTTTGGACCACAAGAACCAAACAGAATCTTCTCTCACTGTGAAACGTAGAACATTTGATGAATTCAGTGACGGAAACATAATCTGAACCAGACTGAACCGGACTGAACCGGACTGAACTGGACTCAGAACCCCATTTTGAGCAGCTAATGTTGATTAAAGATCCAAACCCGGTTCTGGTTCCCGTCTGCTCCTTTGGCGCCACCTGCTGACCGCAGATGGTTCCTCATGATGATGAGCTTTACGCTGATTGGTGATGATGTTACTGCTGCTGATTGGTTAGAGCCTCTCTGGCACCTCCCTCTCCTTAGCCCCTCCTCCTGGGTCATTGGGGCGGTTCTGGGTTCGGGTCGCTGGGCCTCCCCTCCTCCGCCATCAGCTCCTGACGCTCCACTGCTTGTTCAGCTCCTGTTGTTTCTCCTCTGCCTCGCTCCTTATCCTCTGCAGCTCCTCCCTCGCCTCCTGCAGCTGCTGCAGAGTCTGGGTCCGTTTGGACTTCACCTCCTCCAGAACCTGCTGCTCCACCAGCAGCTCCTGCAGAACCTCCCTGAGCTCTGAACAGAAAGGAGTTCCTCTGAATTCAGGAGATGAAGTTCTGCTGGTTCCAGTAGAACCTGCTGGTTCCAGTAGAACCTGCTGGTTCCAGTAGAACCCGCTGGTCCTGGTAGAACCTGCTCACCTGTTCTGCGGGACCTGAGCTCCGCCTTCAGTCGGACCAGCTTCTGCTCCTCCTCCTGATGGACTCCAGAACCGGCAGACCTCCTCCCTCTGAGCTGAACCTGCTGCTCCTCCCTCTGGACCTGCAGGAGGTGGAAGGTCTTCCATCAGAACCACCATCTTATTTAAAGAAAATGTTCATCAGGAGGTTCTGGAAGGTTCTGCAGAACCAGACCGACCAGAACCAATCTCAGCGATAGATTCTGGGCCACAGCTGGACCGGGTACCAGAACCGGGTCAAAGGTCATCCAGGCTCTGGTCCAGCTTCTTTCGGGCTTTCTGTCCCGGTACCAGAAGCATTTTTTTTAAAGCAAACTAGCAGGTTCTGTTCTGGTACCGGTACCCAGACTGGACCTGCTGAAAGCAGCGGGTCTGACGGGGGAGGAGCGTCTCTTCATCAGCGCCCTCTGCTGGTCAGTTTACCCTGATGGTTACCTGGCAGGTGGGCGGGGCCAGCTGCTCCTCTGCTGCTCCGCAGGCAGACAGCAGCACTGCTAGCCTGCAGACACACAGAGACCTTCAAAATAAAAGCTCCGCCTGGAGGCTTTTATTGTGAAGGAGCTGCAGGTGTCTTCCTCACCTGTCTGCAGCTCCATGGACCTTTACTCCGAGCCGCTGGAGCTCCTGCCGTCTGCTCCTCAGCTTCTCCTCCACCTGGCTCAGACGCACCTCCTCCTCCTCCTTCTTCCTCCTCAGCAGCTCCGCCTCCTCCTTCAGCTTCCTGAGTGACATCACACAGGAAGAAGGACTTTTTTTTCCATCTTTAATGTCTCTAAGATGGAAATTAGAGCAGAAACAAAAACTGCTGAAAGAACCAAGATGGCGGCTCCCGGAGACTGCTTACCTGAGGCGTTGGCCGGCCTCCAGCAGACAGGAGGCGCCGTCCTCCAGTCTGAGCTGCAGCGTGTCAGCCTGCGGGGGAAGAGGCGGGTCAGAGGAGGTGGGGATGGTTCTGGTTCTGAGTGTTGGTGGGATTACGTTTCTCCTGGCGGTTCTGGTGCAGCTCTGGGCCTCCAGCAGCAGCCGGTCGGCGCGGCGGAGCTCGGCTCGCCTCCGCAGCAGCGTTCGCTCCAAACACTGCAGCTCATCGCACACCTGCAGGACGCTCCTGCACAGAGATCAGGCCCGGTTCTGGTCGGCTGCTTTATGATGTGTTGCTGAAGCAGACCCGGTGGTTCTGACCTGTGTCGTCTCAGCTGCTTCTTCTCTTGGTCTGGATCCTGCTGGCTCACTGGCTTCAGAGCGCCCCCTGCTGGAGGACGGCGTAGCACCCCTCTGGGGCACCTAGGGGGATCAGATGGGTCAGGAGGAGTCGCTCGTCCACAGACGCACCCTCGCTGCTGCCCCCTGTCAGGCGAACTGGAGTACTGCAGGCCCAGACCCGAGTCAAGAGTCCCCTGAGAGAGCAGACTGGGAGCCTGAGACAGAGAGCAGATCCAGGATCAGCTGGAAGGGCTTTGCTCTGCAGCAGAACCTGACGGGTGAGACCTTTCATCTCACCATGAGTCTCTCTCATTTAAAACTCTCACAAACGACTACAAGCGCTTAAAGATTGACTTCCATACAGAAACTACTCGTCAGAATGTGATTCATCCGATGCTAAAATGACAACATCTCCCTCCCTCGCCTGTCAGAGGATCAACAAAACATCCAAGGTGCTCCAATCTCTCAGAAAGAAGAGAGGGGAAAAGCTCCTGGACCTGACGGCTTCTGCCCAGAATTCTACAAGAATCTAAGCCCCCTAGTGGCAGGTCCACTAACTGACATGTTTATACACTCGTTTGGGCGTGGAGAGTTCCCGCCAACACTTAACCTGGCGAATATCAACCTCATCCTTAAAACAGATAAACCATCAGACGTCTGTTGCTCATATAGACCAATTAGCATTATCAGGGTAGATTAAAGCTGCTCTCTAAAATGCTTCAATGAGGTTGGAGAAGCTTCTGATTTTCTTAATAAACCGGATCAGCCTGTGTTCATACGAATTCTTAACATAATTCAGTACTCAACCCAAACGAACTGTAGAGCCTAAGCTGTATCTTTAGATGCTGAAAAGCATTTGATAGGATTGAGTGGAAGTATTTATTTAATGTTTAAGAGAGATTCGGAATAGGAGGCGACTTTTTGAAATAGATCAAGGTACTTTACAGTTCCCCGTCTGCCGGCGTTATGACTAATGGCGTTCTATCTCCAGCTTTTACGATGCACAGGGGAACTCGACAGGGTTGTCTTCTATCCTGCTGGAGCACTTAGCAGTGGTTGTTAGATCACAACAAAATATACATGGTGATGATGAAACGGACTCGCTCCTCCTCCTCTAACAGATTTTATAAGCAAAAAAAAAACATGACTAGAATAAACACTAGAGCTTTAACCAGAGGAGACAGTAATGTTCCGCAGCGTAGGACCATCAGAGGAGCATTTATGGAACACACTGCCAGCTCATGTTAGGGGCTGTGGAACCTACAGACCATTTAAATTCTCCTTGAAACATTGGTTGAACCTCATTTTATTGTGATTTTATGTTGTTGGCATCTAATCTGTTTGTGTCCACTCTGTTCTCTCCTGTAGCGTCTTGTTTAATGTTCAGTTTTCACCTGCCTTAGGACAGCCGATGCACATTAGCTGCTGTGCTAATTCTGGCATATTTGCATTGATGCTTTATGCTGACATGTTGATGAATGTGCATTGTCCTAATTCAAATAAATAAATAAATAAAATAAAAATACAAATTGGGGGTAAAGTTGATAAAATAGCGTTATATGCAGATGATATTCTGGTATTTGTAACAAACCCGGACATCTCAATACCAGCTGTATTGTCCACTATGTATAAATTTGGTTCTTTCTCAGGTTATAAAATCTATTTTGATCAATCAGAAGCAATGCCGTTAGGTAGTGCTACTGTCCGGGACCTCCCCCCATAGCTGTTCCCTCACATGTTCCCAACGTGGCTCCACCTACCTTAGAAGGAAAGTGTCCCCTAACTGGGCAGATCTGTGGAGGCTTAACTTCTCTCCAACACTTAGGAAAATAAAGAGGGACTTAGAAAGGTGGTTTGACCTTCCCTTATCACTTATGGGGCGTATAAGTTTAATTAAAATGAACATTTTCCCACGACTTCTATTTCCCAATCCAATCCAAGATCTATATATAATGCTAAAAATTATTCTAAGATTCCTTAGAGCACTACAGCGTGAAAACGCATCGTTTTTGCACATTCCACGCCTTTTTTCCTGGTGTAGGGGGGCTCAAACGTTGGGCCCCAGCCTCCTTTGCGAAGCGAGCGCTCTACGGTCTGAGCTAATTCCCCCCGTGCTTCAGTCTCACTCCAATGCTGCTCCTCCTCCTCCACCTCCTCCCCCTCCTCCCCCTCCCTGAGCACCAGGACCAGACGAATGGGGTACCTGAAGCTTCTCCTTTGAGATCCAGCTGCCGCCTTGGTTCTGGTCCAACTGCAGATCCTGGGTCAACCCGCCAAGCTGCTGAACACTCCTGAGAGAGACGGAGAGGAAGGTTCTGCTACCAGAAACCAGAACCTGGAGCTGGACTTTAAAGCAGAGCTCAGCTCTACGGGTCACAGAACATCTGGGTCAGACTCTGAACGTGGGTTAGACCCTGGTTCTGGTTCTGGTTCAGATTGGCAGATGAACAGGACCGGGTTCTGGTCCAAAAGAATCCAGATGGTCTGACAGTAAAAGCAGCAATGGTTCTGTTCTGGTACCTGACTTTAAGCATCGGTTTCCTCTGGTCCTGCTGAGGTTCTGACAGACCAGCTGTAAACCGCTCCAGTTGGATTCTGGTCTGGTTAAACTGGGCAGAACTCTGATCCAGTTGGACCTGAACATCCCCAACCTGCAGAGACACAGAGGTTCCCCTGGATTACTCCTGGGTTTAGATCAGAGATGAGATTATTTAGCTTCAGAATCAGATTTTATAATCCAGAATAGTTAATCCAGGTTATTCACCTAACCTAATAATCCAGTTACTAATCTAGGTTAATTAATCCATCTTAATTCATTCTTATTTATTTATACAGGATAATTATTCTAGATGTGTTCATTCAGGTCAATACAGTTATTAATCAAAATTATTTAATCCAGATTTATTAGACCAGCTTAATTCATCCAGAGTTATTAATCCTGGTCTATTGACCCAGCATGATTCACCCGGGTTTATTAAACCAGATTTATTAATCCAGGTTAATTTATCCAGGATAACTAATCCAGGTTAATTAATCCCAAGTATATATTCCAGTCTAACCAGCCGGTTTAGCTCCTCCCTCAGACGCTGAAGCTCCGCCTCCAGCTCCACCTGTCGGTCCCTGAGAGCCTGAGCCTCGGCCCACAGCGCAGACAGCTGGACACAAGGAGAAGATGGAGAAGTGAAACGGCGTCTCCTCGCGATGCTTTGGCCTCTGATCAACCCCCTCACCTGTGCGTCCTCCAGATGCTTCGGTACCTGCTGCCTCAGTCCGCTCAGATACTCCTGAAGCCCACAGATCACCTCCTGAAGGTCCTTCTGCAGAGCCTCGCTGGCCAGCGTCTGACCTAAAGCAAAGGTTAAAGTCTTCACCTGAGAGCCAATCAGAAGGCTGGAGGCCCTGAGCTGCTCTGTGATTGGTTGTCCTAACCCCTGGTCAGCTGCTGCTCCAGCTCTCTGATCTCCTGCGTCTCCATGGCGATGCGTGACACCAGGTCGTCGAGGCGACTCTCCAGCTCGCCGTCCTTCCTGCTCATGGTGCTCAGCAGCCGGACCGTCATAAAGTCCGATCAGCTCAGAGTCAACAAAGAAGCTCTGAAATGATCGGATCTGAAAATCAGACGTTAACTTTTAAAGGTTTGTCCTTTACGGCCGCAGCCTGATATATCTGACTGCTGCAGTTCCAGCAGAGTTCTGATGAAAATGAAAAAGAGAGATCATATCTCTCCTATCCTGGCTTCTCTTCATTGGCTTCCTGTTAAATCCAGAATAGAATTTAAAATCCTCCTTCTCACATATAAAGATAAACCATTTTATAATTAGTAATATATTC